GGGGTGTTGCTGAGGGCCAGTTGGAGATACAGAGCAGTGATACGCCCCAGAGCCCCAGGCCTGCAGCTGGCTCGCCGGGTGTGTCTGGCTCAGACCTGCTCTGCCTGGTGGCCGCAGGCCCTCAAGGAAAATGAGCATAATGACAAGATCAAAGACAGTTGGGATGGGGGGCGGCGGCGGGGGCAGTTTGATGTTGCCTGAGTCACGTTTAGGGAGTCAGACCAGCCAGGGGCCGTTGACAGCAGATCGTGAAGGTTGTCACAGTCACACTTGCTATTTTCCCTGTCCCTATACGAACCAGCCTTCATTAAGGGCCTTTCCTAACAGTATGGAGGTTTCCTCAAAAAACTAAAAGTAGGGACTTCCCTGGCAGTCCAGCGGTTAAGACTCCTCGCTTCCAATGCGGGTTCGATCCCTGGTCAGGGAACTAACATCCCACATACCGCAACTAAGCCCACACGCCACAACTACTGAGTTTGCACACTCTAGAGCCGGTGCATCGCACCTAGAGAAGCCCACACGCCGCAACGAAGACCCAGCACAGCCTAAATAAATAAATAAATAAATAATAAAAATAAATTTATTGAAACAAAAACCTAAAAATAGAGTTGCCATGTGATCCAGCAATTCCACTCCTGAGCATCTACCCAGAAAAAACTATAATTTGAAAAGATACATGCACCCCTGTGTTCATAGCAGCACTATTCACAATAATCAAGACATGGAAGCAACCTAAATGTCCACTGACAGATGAATGAATAAAGAAGATGTGGCATGCGCGCGCGCGCGCACACACACACACACACACACACACACAATGGAATATTACTCAGCCATTGAAAAGAATGAAATAATGCCATTTGCAGCAATGTGGATGCAACTAGAGATTATCATACTAAATGAAGTAACAAAGAGAAAGACAAGAATCATCTGATATCACTTATATGTAGAATCTGAAATACGACCCAAACAAATATATCTACAAAACAAGAACGGACTCACAAATAGAGAGAACAGACTTGTGGTTGCCAGGGGGTCGGGGGTAGGGAAGGATTGAGAGCTTGGGATTAGCAAATGCAAACTATTACATATAGGATGGATAAACAACAAGGTCCTACTATATAGCACAGGGAACTGTATTCAATATCCTGTGATAAATCATAATGGAAAAGAATATGAAACAGAATATATATATGTATGACTGAGTTACTTTGCTGTGCAGCAGAAATTAAACACAACATTGTAAGTCAACTATACTTAAATGTTTTAAAAGAAAATTTTCATAATAAAAATTTAAAGTATTAAAAAAAAGGGGGGCTTTCCTTAGCTTTGGCTAATGTTAAAGAAAGTCCTGGGCTTCCCTGATGGTGCAGTGGTTGGGAGTCCGCCTACCAATTCAGGGGACACGGGTTTGAGCCCTGGTTCGGGAGGATCCCACATGCTGTGGAGCAACTAGGCCCGGGTGCCACAGCTACTGAGCCTGCGCTCTAGAGCCTGCGAGCCACAGCTACTGAGGCTGCATGCCACAACTACTGCAGCCTATGCACCTGGAGCCCATGCTCCACAACAGGGGAGGCCACCACAATGAGAGGCCCGCACGCCACAGCTGGGGAGAGCCCGCGTGCAGCGGCAAGGACCCAACGCAAGCAAAAATAAAATAAATAAATTTAATAAAAAAAAAAAAATGTCCTCTGCCGTGAGGGAGAAGGCCGTGAGGATCAGTGGTTTGAAACAGGAGTCTGGAAACTGGGTTTTGTTATACATCTCCACGAGCCTCAATCTCCAGGGTCCTCTCGGTTTCTCTAACTTGGAGATTTCACTTGTCACTGCTAGTGCCCACCCCTTTTGAGGTAAGGAAACAGTTTCTGGGAACTGGAGTGGCAGTTTTCCCTGACCTGCATTTTGCATTCTTGGGACAGGTTAGTAGAGCTGTGATTTCAGGTGAGGTACAGCTGGCTTGGGCCACCACCCGTGTCTCTTCCTTGTTGCGCTGGGTGGGCATGATGCGAGAGGGCCTCCTGGGTGCCATGCCACCTGCATTTGAGGAGCAAACAGCACTCCTAGCCCACAGGGATCTTGTAGCCGGAGGCAAAGAACCAGCCTGTGCCAGGAATCCTGGCTTCTGGGCCTGCCCGCCCTTACCTCCTGGGACTTCCTGCTTAGACAGCAGGCTCCAGAGCTCCTCCAGCTTGGCAAGCGTAACTAATGAGGAACAGCTTGCATTTGTCTGTCTAGTCAAGGACAGATGTGCTTTGGGGAAATTTGGGGATAGAGAAGTTACTTTTTTCTGAGAATATTACTTTGTTGTTGTCATTGGCCATTAATGTTGCTTTATTCTATGCTTTCTCTTCTCTCACTACTCTCCTAGGTTCTGCCCCTTGAAAACAAAATGAAGGATCCCCGGAAGTTCTCGCTCATCCTCTATGTGGGAATGGCTATCATCACTGTCCTCTACATCAGCCTGGGGTGTCTGGGGTACCTGCAATTTGGAGCTAACATCCAAGGGAGCATAACCCTCAACCTGCCCAACTGTTGGTATGTTGGGGAGGATGGAAGCCTGGGAGCACTGGGTTTTTAAAAAAATTAATGAGGGTCAGAATGTGTATTTTTCCTCCTCCCTATCTCTTAAATCAGCCCACTTCACTTTTTAAAAAAAATTATTTTATTTATTTATTTTTGGCTGCGTTGGGTCTTCGTTGCTGTGGGCAGGCTTTCTCTAGGTGCGGCGAGCGGGGGCTACTCTTCATTGCGGTGCGCGGGCTTCTCACTGCGGTGGCTCCTCTTGCTGCGGAGCACGGGCTCTACGCACACGGGCTTCCGTAGTTGTGGCTTGCGGGCTCCAGAGCACAGGCTCAGTAGTTGTGGCGCACGGGCTTAGTTGCTCCACGGGATGTGGGATCTTCACAGACCAGGGCTCGAACCCATGTCCCTGGCACTGGCAGGCGGATTCTTAACCACTGTGCCACCAGGGAAGCCCCAGCCCATTTCACTTGAACTCTCACTTGCCACCAGCCCCCAGCCTAGCACCATCCCTCCTTGGCTGCCCAGTAAGCCTTTTGGCTGGTTTCCCTGCCTGGGTCTGACTCTCTCTCCACATCTTTTCTCCTCCTGTTACCCGTGTGAGCCATCTAACCCTTAGTGCCCTCATGCACTTCCCCATTGAGAAGGCTCAAAGGCTTCCTTTAGTTCTTATGATAAAGAGGAAACCTTCAGGTACAGTCAGGGCCACTCAGGCTCTAGCCCCACCCCTGCCTTATTCCTTCTCAGTGAGGAGGACTCAGCCTGGGCGTCACTCTGTTTGAGAAACGTCTCTGATGTCTCAGCCGCAGCAACTTCAAGTCTGGGTCAGTGGCCCTCCTCTCTGCTGCCCTGGAGTCCCGTGAGGATCCTGTCCTAATCCTTCTCCCATTGTGTTGTAGTTGTCTGTTTACCTGTACTGTGATCTCCCTACACTGTAAGCTCTGAGGGCAGTAACTGTCCAGTTGTTCATTTTACTCCAAGCCCCCGCCTGGCACAATGCCTGGCGTATGATCAAAACCCAGTGAAAAGTTTTTGAATGAAAAGGAGGACTAAGTGCTGAGACTGTGAGGCATTCATAAATGAGGAGAGGTTACCAGGAAGCCAGTGGGGCACAGAGGATAGAGGTGATCTGCTGTGTCCCAGCTGTACGGCCTTGGACAGATCACAGCTTCTCACTGCCTCAGTTCCCCTTTCTGGGAAATAAGAATAGTCATTTCTGCCAGGATTGTCATGAAGAGCAAAAGATGTGTGTGAGCTTTCTAATACTGTATTGGCACTATGGAGAAGTAGGATGCTGCAAGAGCTTTATGCTTTGGGTGAGTCATTCCGATGGAAATGGATGCTGCATGGATTGGCCGATCCCCTGACTGATGGTGCCATTTCTCCCCGGAGATCTGAGCCCAGAATGGTCAAGCATCCAGTCCATTGACCTTGAACCATTCTAAATAGACGGAGAAAGAGGAGGGCAAACCTGCCTGGTTCCCAGCTTCTGCTGTGCCTGTCCCATGGCTGTCACCTGCTCCATGTGCAGGTGCAGATGGAGCCTCTCACCGTGGGCCCGGGATGCTTGGGAACCCTTCTGTATCTCATTTTCCCTAAGTCATGGTTGCTGTATTGTAGAGAAGCACTGAGACACACTGAAATGCTTCCTAAAAAGGTAGATGTCACAGGGTGTGTCTTCAGCAGCAGTTCTTTTCGGAAGATTACAGTTTCATTGCAGAGAGCAGCCGTGAGCAGATTCTGAGAAGCTTGTCGAATGCCCTAGGGATCAGAATAACCTCTCAAGCCAGTCTGGTTTTAGAGCTCTGATCAGTGAGGCATTGTACAAGGACAGATTGAGAAAACTGAGAAAAACATCTTTTCAGGAGTATCAGGGTTTCACACAGGACACCCTAATCAGCAGGGCTTTGGGGGACTAGGTTTGCTGTATGGCCAGCCAAGTGGTAGCCCTGAAATGGGCTTTTGTTTTCTGAAAGTCTTTCACTTTCCCTCTGATGCCTGCTTTAAAATTTCCAAATGTTCCTGCCCTTTGGAGAGAGAAGAGTCAGGTGGCAGCTCGCATAAGTGAAGATAAGTGGATCAGGGGCCGCAGAAGCAGCCCACATAATCTGAAGCCATAGCTGAGCATCTGTCTTCTTTCCTCTGATGTTTCAAACCCAGCTACCCTAATCTTTCTGCCTCCATTCGGGTGTGATTTATTTGGCCATCCCAGCAGGTGACTATCCTGATTCTAGACTTGCCAGCACTCCAGAAGGCTTTGGTGCTGCACTGAGTTTAATTATAGAGCCACTAGCTGGTTTTTTCCCCAAGGATTTTTATCATCTCTTCTTGGAACAAGTAAGATGTTTTGTCAGTCTCAGTTTCTCCTAGGATGTTCTGCTCATAGCATTAGAACATCTTCTAGGTATTAATTTCGACCACAGAGGAATTCAGTATGCATCAAGCACAATATAATCACAACTTTTAAATAGATTTCCGAGGGAGGGAGGTCCGTGTTTCTCGATTCATAACGCGTGACCGTCTTATTTGAAGTGGAGCTTTGCTTAGGGGCAGTGTCCTTCCCTTGAATGATCAAGTCAGATCTGTGAATACTTATTGATCAGACCTTTTTACTCCTCTGCACAGTCCTAGGCCTGGGATAAGATAGAGATGTCCCATGGGGAGTCAGCAGTCTCCCTAAGAAGCTACCCATGAAGCAGTAGTAGGATAGTAACCGTAGTGGAATGGAAAGATGGATTTTGATCCTGCCTGTTGCCCTGTGTGGTCACTGTCTGATTCTAGGGAGCACTGAGTTGGATGGGAAGGATATAAATAGGCTTGTGGAGTTACATTGCACTTTTTTTTTATAACATCGTTATTGGAATATAATTGCTTTACAATGGTGTGTTGGTTTCTGCTTTATAACAAAGTGAAGCAGTTATACATATACATATGTTCCCATATCTCTTCCCTCTTGCATCTCCCTCCCTCCCTATCCCACCCCTCTAGGTGGTCACAAAGCACCGAGCTGATCTCCCTGTGCTATGCGGCTGCTTCCCACTAGCTAGCTATTTTACATTTGGTAGTGTATACATGTCCATGCCACTCTCTCACTTTGTCACAGCTTACCCTTCCCCCTCCCCATATCCTCAAGTCCATTCTCTAGTAGATCTGTGTCTTTATTCCCATCTTGCCCCTAGGTTCTTCCTGACCTTTTTTTTTTTTCTTCTTAGATTCCATATATATGTGTTGGCATATGGTATTTGTTTTTCTCTTTCTGACTTACTTCACTCTGTATGACAGACTCTAGATCCATCCACCTCACTACAAATAACTCAATTTTGTTTCTTTTTATGGCTGAGTAATATTCCACTGTATATATGTGCCACATATTCGTTATCCATTCATCTGTTGATGGACACTTAGGTTGCTTCCATGTCCTGGCTATTGTAAATAGAGGGGCAATGAACATTTTGGTACACGACTCTTTCTGAATTATGGTTTTCTCAGGGTATATGCCCAGTAGTGGGATTGCTGGGTCGTATGGTAGTTCTATTTTTAGTTTTTTAAGGAACCTCCATACTGTTCTCCATAGTGACTGTATCAATTTACATTCCCACCAACAGTATAAGAGGGTTCCCTTTTCTCCACACCTGCTCCAGCATTTATTGTTTGTAGATTTTTTGATGATGGCCATTCTGACAGGTGTGAGATGATATCTCATTGTAGTTTTGATTTGCATTTCTCTAATGATTAATGATGTTGAGCATCCTTTCATGTGTTTGTTGGCAAATCTGTATATCTTCTTTGGAGAAATGTCTATTTAGGTCTTCTGCCCATTTTTGGATTGGGTTGCTTGTTTTTTTGATATTGAGCTGCATGAGCTGCTTGTAAATTTTGGCTTTGTCAGTTGCTTCATTTGCAAATATTTTCTCCCATTCTGAGGGTTGTCTTTTGGTCTTGTTTATGGTTTCCTTTGCTGTGCAAAAGTTTTTAAGTTTCATTAGGTCCCATTTGTTTATTTTTGTTTTTATTTCCATTTCTCTAGGAGGTGGGTCAAAAAGGATCTTGCTGTGATTTATGTCATAGAGTGTTCTGCCTATGTTTTCCTCTAAGAGTTTGATAGTTTCTGGCCTTACATTTAGGTCTTTAATCCATTTTGAGCTTATTTTTGTGTATGGTGTTAGGGAGTGATCTAATCTCATACTTTTACATGTACCTATCCAATTTTCCCAGCACCACTTATTGAAGAGGCTGTCCTTTCTCCACTGTATATTCCTGCCACCTTTATCAAAGATAAGGTGACCATATGTGCTCCCGTTGTGGAGCACAGGCTCCAGACACGCAGGCTCAGCGGCCATGGCTTACGGGCCCAGCCACTCCACGGCATGTGGGATCTTCCTGGACCAGGGCACGAAACTGTGTCCCTTGCATCGGCAGGCAGACTCTCAACCACTGTGCCACCAGGGAAGCCCTAGTCAGGGTCTTTTGTGTTTCCATACAAATTGTGAAAGTTTTTGTTCTAGTTCTGTGAAAAATGCCAGTGGTAGTTTGATAGGGATTGCATTGAATCTGTAGATTGCTTTGGGTAGTAGAGTCATGTTCACAATGTTGATTCTTCCAATCCAAGAACATGGTATATCTCTCCATCTATTTGTATCATCTTTAATTTCTTTCATCAGTGTCTTATAATTTTCTGCATACAGGTCTTTTATCTCCTTAGGTAGGTTTATTCCTAGATATTTTACTCTTTTACTTGCAGTGGTAAATGGGAGTGTTTTCTTAATTTCTCTTTAAGATTTTTCATCATTAGTGTATAAGAATGCAGAGATTTCTGTGCATTAATTTTCTATCCTAGTACTTTACCAGATTAGCTCTAGTAGTTTTCTGGTAGCATCTTTAGGATTCTCTATGTATAGGATCATGTCATCTGCAGAGTCATCTGCAAAGAGTGACAGTGTTACTTCTTCTTTTCCGATTTGGATTCCTTTTATTTCCTTTTCTTCTCTGATTGCTGTGGCTAAAACTTCCATAAC